GACGCACAGTAATCAATTCTTGGTGATACGTGTATGTATTAATGAAACATGAAACGAGGACGAGCGGAAGTTGTGTGCTCTAAGCACGATGGCGTTCATGGTCAAATGCCGTGTCAGGTGTCGTGTTCCGAGCATATCTACGACATCCCATCCTAACACGTTTGACACAGTGTTGCTAAATATACGATTACGTTTTTATGCGATAAATGGGGAGACCCACCAAAAGATCACTAGCCAAGGTAACTATCACAATACATTCATTCGGCATAAATCTATACGTTCGATACGGCCCTATATGGGCTTTACTATTATGCCAAAGGTTGCCTCCTGGAGATGTCTAATCGGCGCTGATGAAATTACCTATGGAATCCCATGGTGTCCCTAGATTCGATACTACGCCACTGTTTTTCAGAGAGAATCTCTAGCGAAACGGTATACCTACAGATCTGTATTACAGACGGTAAATACCGGATTATCAGATCGGAGAAAGTTTCAAACCCCAATAATTGTGCACCACCTTGCCGGCTACGTAAAGCTGGCCATACGGAATAAGCTTCAAATAAAGGGTTTCCAGCAAAATATTTGAAAGAATACTGCAATCTAAAACAAGTCAAATACCCTCAACATGTCGGCCTTTACGAAAAAAAACTTTCATCTCGACATCTTATCGACATTTTTTTGAAGAAAATGGCATCAACCAAGCTGAATCTGTACTTCGCAGCAACGCTGTCATTAGCTAGTAAAGGCCTATTTTCGGCACAAATCAACCCTTGTTGGAAAAAAGTTAGCTACGAACATACATGTATATGACAAAAATTAAATGACCTTTTCCACCTCCCCCTGCACGAAATTTTAACTGGCGCACATGGTCGTTGCTATGACTCTGGACGACGTTATTGACTGTTGGAGATATACTCAGTGATATTAGAAGTGTTACACCCAGGAAAAATAATGTCTTCATCTTGATTTTTTGGCAATGAGGTAGACTAGTAATAAGAAAAAAAATAATGTGTTGGGCGACTCCGCAGCTGAATGCACTCCTGCATACGTCTAGGCATCGACAAAATGAGATGATCGATGTCTGGTTGTGGCACTTCATTCCAAGTAACTCGAACTTCGTGGATTAGCTGTGGTAGAGTCTGTGGCGTACAATTACTTTTTGAATTACTTTGTGCTGTTTGAATTCCTACCATAAATTACTTAATATTTTGTGCTAATCATTAACCGAAGACGCAAGCATTTAAATAAGTATTGTAGCGTTTTTCTGGGTTCTTTTGGGTGTGGATTGAAACACTGGATTCCACAAAAAGAAATGCCCTAATTTATTTAACTTGATAAAACATTTATATACCACTATGTATGTCTGACTAATTCTTATGTCGCCATTGACTGCACTATACTCCACTCCGCTCTGCACTGGTGTAATCTGTACTCTCTGCCTCCATCTCCCGGCCGCCGAGTTATATATAGTCCCAATTGCCGCTTCGAGAAAGGCCGGGTGTACCACAAAGACATCTAGAATATTGGAGGCCACTTCGCGTATTTTATTTTCGAAAAAAAACATATAATGACATTGTATAAATTTTGGGCCGAGGAAGTGTCTTTAACTAAAATAAGGCCGATAAAATGATCCTTTGTGTTAAAATTTTTATTGTACCGGACAACAATTGCAAAATGTTTTCCGGATGACAAATCTGTCGATTCGTCAACTAATAATGAAAATGTATGGCAACTTAAGTCACTAATAAGATTTTCAAAACTTATTTTCCCTAATACATTGTTTATGATTGCCATACATTTAGTTCGGCCTACAGACATTTTTTTGCTTGGTTACCTTCCATTCCAGACATACAAATAGATTTTATAGGTTCGCTAAGATGATCTGGCACATTTATTGCGATATTATGCTCGGCAATAAAAGCTGTAATTTTAATTTCATTTTGTTTTACTATATTATCAGAAGAGATTTGATATACTTTTTTGACAAGGTTGGCTGCTTAACCATAATAGTAAAATTTTTTATATTGTGACGAATAGCGCCATCTGTTGAGCGAGTCTTCTACTTGCCAGAGCCTAAATGCCGATCTCTGCTTTCACGCGAACCACGGCGCACAAGCCGCCTGGCGGCGTCTGTGAGGACCGTGACAGTGGATCGCCTTCTAGATCGACGCGAAGTGATCTCGAAGAGTCTAGACTTGCGCTTTGGGGCCCGCCACACTCTTCCTTTTTTTTTTTTTGGTAAGGGGGGAATGCGTTTACGCACCATACCATAGCCCGAGCTACGGCGAGTGTGGGACTCCAGGTTGTCTTGAGGAGACCACCTAATACCCACTAAACCCTAAACCTCCGCGTGGCCCGACTTGTCAGCGTCTCGGTAGGCCATGTGTTGTGCGTGACCTGCGGTCTGCTACAACGTCTCCTCATGTGTTTCAGTCTCTGGGAACGCCGGGTTGGTTCCCTTTACCTCGCACATTATATCGATGCCGTTAAGCGATCATTGATAGAGGGTCTGCTAGGTTTTCTTGAAACTCTTGTTTTCGAAAAATCAAGAGTTTCAAGTCCTCTTACCTATATATTGTTCCTGGTCCTGGTCCTGAAGGGTCCTGGTCCTGGTGGGTCCTGGTCGTGGCGGGTCCTGGTCCTGGTTGGTCCTGGTCCCGGTGGTTCCTGGTCCTCTGCATCCACGCCGTGGGGGGGGGGGAGCAACCGCGGGTTCTCCTAGTCAAGGTTCCAGTTAGCGGGTGCCAACTGGGACCTTGGTCTAGGGTACCTGGTTCTGCGGTTGCGAGGCCTCTCGTCCGGATCGTAGTCCATGAGGAATCGTAGCTGCTCGTTCGGGTGGTCCTGAGCTTTCTCAAAGGTCTTCTCCGCTTTTTTCCTCATGTACTCGTGGATGGTGTCCCAATGCAGGTCTCTACGCAAGGTTGAGTTTCTTTCGTAGGATGGTGCACTGGTGGCGATCCGGAGTAGCTTCATCTCTAGAGCAGCAAGTCGCTTGCGGTAGCTGGGGGCAGCGTACCCCCAGACCGCGGAGGCGTAAGCGAGCTGAGGTCTGGCGATGGCCTTGATCAGCCGTAGCTTGGTCGCTAGCGGCATCCGGCTGTGTCTACCCAGTAATGGGTAGAGTTGAGCCATAGCTGCTCTGGTCTTTGCGATGACAGCTTCTATGTGGGCTTTCCAGGTGAGGGACTTGTCAAATACGATCCCCAGATATTTGACTTTGTCGCTCCACTGGATATCTTCGTCGAAGATGGATGCTTCGAGAGGTCTTGCAATCCTTCTTCGTTGAATGGAGTGCCTGCGTCTTCTGGACGTTGATGCGGATTTTCCATTTCACGCACCAGTCCTGGATGTGGTCCAGTTCATCCTGTAGTCTCCTACGGATGATCTCGGGTCGTCTATGCTTGGCGGCTATAGCAGTGTCGTCTGCATATAGGGCCAGCATTGTGTCAGCTGTCTTCAGCACATCGTGAGTATAGATGTTGTAGAGCAGGGGGCTAAGGCTGACCCCTGGGGCACGCCTGCTTCCAGCTGTCGTCTTGTTGAATGGCATGTACCAATCTTCACCGTGAACCATCTTTGTGTTAGATAGCTCTGGATCAGTTGGCACATGTTCGCATCGATTCCGGCGGCTTGCATTTTGGCGATGAGTCCATCGTGCCAAGCCAGCAGGACGAGACCGGTTGCCTCCTGGAGATTGAAGCCGCTGGTGATGTTTTCTGTCAGTCGTAGCGCTTGGAGCTCCGTGTTGTGGGAGGATCTGAAGCCGGATTGCTCTGGAGGGAGAAGTTGCAGTTCTTCTGCCTGCTTCTCTAGTCGAACGGCGATAGCCTTTTCGACTACTTTGCCCATCGAGGAAACCAGGCTGATGGGCTGGTAGTTCTGGGGCAACTTCCGGTCCTTGCCTGGCTTGGTGAGCATTATAACCTGGGCTTCCCGCCACCGCCGCGGGAAGTGGTTAAGTCTCAGAGTGGCATTGGCGATGTTGGTGAGCGCAGCAATGCCTTTGGTGGGAAGGTTCTTCAGCATCCTGTTGTTGATGCCGTCCCTTCCCGGCGCCTTTTTGACCTTCAACCTGCGGATGATCAGACGGATTTCCTCTGGACTGGAGGGGTGATCCGTCTCCTGGCCAGGTGGTCGACTCCTCATGATGTCGGCTGCGACTTCCACGGCCTCCTCGTGGTTTTCGTCCTCGTCTTCATGGTAATTGAGTCTGCATTCGGATTCTAGCGAATCGGCGAATGCTTCGGCTTTTTCTTCACTGGAGTAGGCCAAGCCGCGTTGGCCGTGAAGAGTGGGGATCGTGGTGCGCTGACGACGAAATTTTCGCTGCATAGTCCAGGCCGTACCATCCTGGGTCTCTAGTTCTGCACAGGCTGCATTCCATCTGCTGTTTTGGAGTTCCGCGAGTGCGTTCTTCAGAGCTAGCGATGCTCTGTTTCGCGCAACTCTCGACTCCTCTGTCAACAGCTGGAGATGTTGTCGCTTGAGTCTTCTGTTCTCCCTGATCAGGTGCCTAATATGGTGCGGTGCTGGACCATTTAGGTGTCTAGGAACTGCCGTAGTCTCGGAGCGGGTGCTGTCCTCGTGCGCTCGCAGGACAGCATTCTCCAGCTCCTCTACTGCGTTGTCCAGTTCCTCCGCTGATCGGATGGTTGGAATTTGAGTGATGTTCCTTTGGACGTTGAGACTCTTCCCGACAAACGATGCGGACTATATACCCCACGGCCGCGAGAGGGAAGCGGAGTACGGAATACGGTGGAGTAGCAGAGCGAAGACAAGTCTAGTGCAGTCAATGGTGACATAAGAATTAGTCAGACATAAATAGTCGTGTGTATGAATTTTTTATCAAGTTAAATAAATCAATGCATTTCTTTTTGTGGAATCCAGTGTTTTAATCCACACCCAGTTCTTAAAATTTTCATGCTGCTCCCACTCAGCCTTGTATTTTTGGGAATATATTTTTTTATTTCGAGGCTGGTTGGTCTGCTGGATCTTACTGGATACTGAATTATCAGAATCAGGAGTGGAGTCTAATTCACTTGTTGTACTCGGTCTCGTTTCCTCGGATTCTTCTTGAACTGAAGTAGACGCTTTGCTTGGATCTGGTTGTGGAGATAATGGCCGAACTGCGTCATCTGTTTTCTTAATTACCAAAATATTTTTCATAATTTTGATATTTGATGGCCTGAAAACCAAAAAGAGATTTTAGCCTTTATTACAAACTAATTTTTGCCTCAATTAGGTATTAGCATATTTTTATTGTTAACGTTGACTCATCAAATATTTTTTAAAATAAATTGTTTAAAAAAAAAATCAAATACGTACACTGTGTTCCAGTTTGCTTGTAATTGCAGGGTATCTTGGATATTTTTAAAGATGGAACTTTACAGTTTTTAGGAACCTGTGCCATTTTCTTGCTCACATTTTATTCCATACTCATATTAATGTTCATATCCAAAGTGCAAATAATCCATTAATAAAAAAAAACTAAGTTAGGGTCATAGCTCTTGAACGACGCCTCTGATTTCTTTTCGAGCATGCCGCTGAATATGCAGAAGTATCTATCTATAGCAGTTTTCACCTTTTTTCTATCTTATACAGGGTACGGGCTGACAGTGCCCTAAAAAGTGAACTTTTTCGTTATCACCCTGTATTTCAGTGGCAAAACGAGTTAGCTTAAGGCGGCTCCGACGCAGTAAGTTTCAGGCCAATTACAAGGGTTCAGCTGCTTCAAAACTGACACTCTATTTTTCAATATTTTTCAATGAAATTTATGCAGTATGTTGAGAAGATAATTGTCCAGGGTGCTATAGGAGCACTTTTTGAAATTTTGTTTTTGCACAAGTTTTATGATGGGATGAAGTGCGCACTTTTTCTGTTCAACTTCGCGATTTTTTTAAAAAGAACCTAGTGAAAAAAATGAAAAAGTGGCTCTATAGCACCCTGTGGGGTTTTGTTTTCAGCACACTGTGAAAATTTCATTCAAAAATGTCAAAAAATAAAGCGTCAATTCCGAAGCGCGCAAACCTCTACAAATCGTATTTTGGACGAATTTTGTCTACTGTTTGGTGCTGCCAAAACAAGGGTTGCGGCGCAATGTACGGACTAAGAAAGGACGTATTCAGATAATTTTGTGGCCCTATTTCATACAATATCTCGTAGATAACTCGTTCTGCAAATAGGTACTCACAATCGCGATCTCTGATACTCCTCGATCTTAAAGCCGTTTTACTTCCCACGCCATTGGCGAGGAAGTATTGTAATCGCGGAAAATTTCTAAAATGAGATGTTATGTTTTTTTACGTCATATGGCATCTACATCACGAAAAACTGTATCACTCATCATCAACTTGGAAATTACCGCTCGGATTTTTATGAAATTTCCATACTGCCAAAGCTTTCTAGTTCTACTCCACTGGCAACGGTGCTATAGACAAAAAAGAAAAAATAACAATTGCTGAAACTCCATTTTTGACGTATCAGAGGTTCCTAATCATTGACAATTCTACTGCTTAAAAAGGGGGGGGTTGAAATCAGTGAAACACGTTCTATTATTAAGAAGCTTTTGATCCCAGTGATTACAGAAAATTTAAGTAACGAAAATCCGACGAATAATGTGCTCACGATTTGAAAAAAATCGGTATCTGCTCTATAGGTTTGACACCAAGAGCCAACAGAACTGCAACTACCGACAGTAGGGAAGAATAAATTCGGATATCACTCCAGTCAAGTATAGGGGAATTTAGCGGGGAACTTTAAAATTATCGATATGTCAAGGAAATATGTTCTTGAGAATGATAATTTGGTAGATTTTATACCTGCATTTTCATTTGAATTTCATGACCCGTGAAATGTACCCATTTCACCGTTACCTTCAATTTGTGTACTGCAGTTTGTGATGTTTTTCTGGATATAAGCAGGACATGATTGCCTAGGGTGCTATCAGAGCTTTTTACAAAATTTTGTTTTTGCGCAAGAATTGTGGTGGGTTGAAATGCTTACTATTTGTGCTCAACTTCTTGATATTTTAAAAAGATCCTAGTGGATAAAATCGAAAAAGTGAATCGCTGGCACCCTGTGGACTTTGTCTTTAGCACGCTGCAAGAGTTTCATTTAGAAATAATAAAAATTAAACGTAAGCTGTGAAGTGTAAATCGGTTTTTGAGCGAAATTCATCTACTGTTTCAACCTGCTAGTCCAAGCGTCGTAACGGTGCGTTCCGACTAAGAAAAAATGTATTCAAATAATATTATATCTTTCCTAAAATAAATTCAAGAATTCAAATTCAAATTCGTTTATTTATGCCAATAAACAAAATTATGTTTACAATTGTCATGTGGTAGATGGTAACAATTGAACGGGAGTCATAAAAATATCCTACGCAGTCAAAACATGAGGAAGCAGTTAGGTAGTTTTTGCAAAGCAATAAATAGGTAGGCTTATACCTGGATTAAGTACATGTCTTGTCTACTGTAATAGGTAGATGGAGGTGATGCTGCCAGAAATGGATGTGTGCGATCAATAAACAAACCACAAGATTGAACTGCCGTGTCCATGTGTCCAATGATTTTTGTATTGCCCTTTTTTATTGCCTTACTAGAAAACTCTGTTGGGTATATGATGGAGTTTACTAGAACTTTACAGCTTGTTGTCTGATTTCTTCTACAAACTTCAGCAAATCGAGACGCTGTCAACCTTATCCTCTGATGAAGACGCCACAAAGTACAGTCCTGTGATTTGGTGACTTGTTCGATCTGCAAAATTTCATCGTCACTTTTTTTAAGTTTCCCTAAAAATTCTTGCTCAGCAACCTCCAAATCAATGTCGTTCATGTCAGGTTTTAGACAGAATTGCCATAAAACTATTCATTTTCTTTGGAATTGCTATCCGAATTGTTATTTTTATATCAGCTTTTTTTGGTCTGAGTTTCTTTTGAAGATTCTTGCGTTTGAGTCTTTGTTCCATCTTAGTGATAAGCGAGGTTGGACTAAGCTTAGCACGCAAATGTATTTGAACCACATAGACAGGCCGCTCGGTATTGTGGCTCACTACAGCTGCAGCACGTTTTCCATGGTATGACCTCTTCTTGCAATAATTTATTCGCTTACCCCAATGTATTTTGCAATTATAGAGTTGAACTGCTCCACATTATTGTTGTCCTCATCATGAATTAAGCTCACTGCATTCGTAATTAAAATTGTCGCATAAGACCTTTTATTGTCCATTATCAACCTTGATAAAAAAAGGCACTCAAGAACAATCACACCAACAAAAGAGTACAGCACAACAATTCAACAACACAATATCGACGAACAGTAACCAAGGTAGAACAATACTAAATGATCACTTGCTGAGTACCAAAATAGGAAACGATTAACGGACTAGATCGCTAATCGAAATCCGACTCTGTTATTATATAAATTTACCTCGGCACGCACCCGCAGTCATCCTTTCCTCTTTTAAAGTAGCGCCGACAACCATCTAAGACCTGCCCACCATCGTTTCCTTTTCACCCCCCCGTTTTCTCAACAGATGGTACTCGAGATTGTAGGAGCCCCGTTAAAGGTTGATTCTCACTATACATTCCATTTCCATTCCATATCAGTTTCGTAAACGTTCCGTACAATGTGATTGTATACACAGTATACCTTATAGGTCGTCTACACGGGCCATAGAAAATGCAGATTTTTGAAAACATTGCCGGGTTATGTAGCCGGGCAGCATGGCCCAGCAACTGAATTTTTACATATTGCCAGGCCACATTCTGGACGAGTATGTCCGGACATCGTTCTGCAACATATGGCCATAGCAAATTTGCATTTACACTAGACAACATTCACACAAATAGTTGCTTTATCACCATGGATGATCTAGTGCTTATTGCGGCTGCTATTATTGTGTTAAAAAGAAACCGAACACTAAAAAAAGAAAAAAGTTGTGGGTTAGGCCTTATAAGTAAAAGGCTTACTTTACAAAATCTAAGTGAAGAGTTATCTCTCGACAATTATTTATTCAAAAACATTACGAGAATGGATAAAACGGATTTTGAATTTTTACTAAATCGAATTGGACCGAATATTCGAAAGCAGGATACCAACATGCGAACAGCGATATCAACTACGACAAGACTAGCTATAACACTAAGATACTTGGCAACTGGTGAGAGCTTCAAAAGTTTGATGTATTTATTTAGGGTGTCTGATTCAGCTATTTCACTGATAAATAATCGCAGAAGTATGCAGAGCACTGGTGATAGGAGTAAAAGAATTTATTCAGGTGAGTTAATATTTTTATTTATATTACTTCATCAGAAACAAAAGATATGCTAACTTAATAAAAGACACTAGCTACATAAATTCGCTAGTGTTTTTCATTTAGTTTCGTCTTGTGAGAGTTTCTGCAGATTGAAACAGGGGAGGATCTTCGCTGCAGTAAGATTCCACCAGTGTACGATAGTTGGAAGCAATCGAAATATGTTTATACAAAACATTGTTAACATCCCACAATTCTGGACTTAAATGTATAGCGTTAATTAAATGTAAAGTCTTTTCGTTAGTCCAATTAGTCATTTTAAATTAAGAAAATTCACCACAAAACAACACTCGAATGACGCGCGGCTAAAGAAGTGAAGCGAGACAAATACAAAGATGGCTGAGCCATGTTGCTGAAAATTCGCAAAGCGGTCGATCTCTCGGCCACTTGCCGGCCAGTGTTGCCGCACTAAAGAAATGCCAGGATATATTGCTCGGCCATATTGCAATATTTTGGTTATATTGCCGAATGTGGCTGGCAAGTTGCGAGCCATCATCCGGCCATATGATGCCGCCTACAAAATGCCGAAAATTATGGCCCGTGTAGACGACCTATAAGGACATTATCTAGGTCAATCTAGAAGTCGCCAATAAATTCCTCTTTTGTCTTTCGAATCTTTTGTAGGAACCCCTTTTGCGTACTTGCTTAGTTTTCAAGCTGTTCAGATATTTAATAGACAGAACAGAACAGAACAAAATAATTGTATCTCACAGAATAATCATCACTCATCAGATATACATAGCTCAGAGCTGTCTCTAGGCGAATATTTTAATGAATAAATAGTGACCAAAAATCAATATTTCAAGCTATGATGTAGTCTATGCAAGTGACAAAATATTTTTAAGTAGTATTTCAAGTATTTAGTCTATCCTTACAATTTATGTCACAAAATGCCTTCACTAAAATACAGATATTGTTACAGAGTCCTAATTTCTAAAGATGAAGTAATGAAGCATCCTGGTCTTGTCAGTTTTCCGGACAAGCTACAATTTTTAAGCTCGGTGTATAAACTCTATGCTGTAGTCCAGCATAGCGGAACTCTATCTCAAGGCCATTACATTGCCACTGTTTTACTTGACGATGTAAGGTAAGGTCAAAAAACCACAGCATGTGGTACTACTACAGCTCCTAAAATTACGTTGAATTTCTGTGACGTTACCTGTATATGTGATGTTGGAGCCTTCTCTGTGACCTTTATAGTACAGCTAGATTACAGCAGGGTGGCCTTTGCCAGACAACCCTCCTTTACTCTGTTCTACTATAAACTATTGTTCTTAAAAATTAAGCTAGAAAGAATTTCCCGCTCTTTGAACCAAACCTATCCTTTTTTTACTTTTGAAAAAGTTGTAAGTCTGGGGGATTTTTGTGCTTGTTCTGGGGAAATTCTGTAGTGACCCATCTGGCAACGCTGTGCTTTGAAAAATAGTTCTGAAACATGGTGTTGTTCAAGTTATTTAAGGAATATTTTAAGGTATTTATTTTATAGACCTTGTTCCCTGCGAACTTGGCCATAAGATAGACCGATTTCCATTGGCGCCGTTCAGTGTCATGTATCTCCGAAATCGTCAACGGACAGAGCACTCTTAGGGCCCTATCTTCAGTCGTTCCTACAATTGTAGGATGCCTTTATGGTCTCCTTGATGGTCATAGTCTTTTCTGTTTTTCAGATTTCTACTGTTCCATGTCAGCTATTGTGAAGGTATGTTTTCTTCTTGAATCTTAAAAAATTTCAGATTTATAAAACAGATGATGAAGTTCTGTCAGCCTGAAATTTCTTAGAATTCAAAAAGAAAATTTAACCTGAAATAGAGGGGTGACACAAAACAGTAGAAATCTGGAAATACCCTGCGTTTTCGAAGGACAGGAAAAACTACCAAAGTCAAGGAGGCCATAAAGGCGTCCTACAATATTGTAGGAACGATGGACGATTCGGCCCTTAGAGTAGTCTTAAGAATCACTTCTTGAATTTTTGTCCCGTGTTTAAAAAAATAGGGAGGTACCGAGGCAATCAACTTAACGTCGTTTTTCACTTGCTTCAGAGACGACTGGATCGAGTTCAATGATGACGTTATGACTCGCATCAGTGCCAGGCCGTTGAAAGACGCTCCTGGAATAAGATCGATCGGTTCTTCTACGTTCGTCAAAATGCTGCAGAACCTAATGTGGTATAGTCTGATAAAGAAATGTGATACTAGAATAACTAAACAACATATATACGTATACAACATTCCTGGATAAGACGCAGTATTTTTCTAGTAATTTTATCATATACCACGTTCCTTTGAAGTGCCTATAGACGTAATTTTTCTATTTAGGAAATTTGAATATCGAGCTCTATTGTCTATTTTCGCGGCGTAAATGAGGTTAGAGTTTGCTTCTTGTCACATCATACAAATAGCGTTTTCGCGCCAAGCAACTGGAAAGGGCAAATATATTTACAGGAAGTTATTTATGCTGCTTCATAATACACAGTGGGTAGATTGATATATTTGTATTGAATCTATCCTCTGATCTTTCTGTAGCTTGTAAATATTTTTGTCAGAATTCTATATAATAGTGGATATAGAATATCAATTTTAAGAACCAAATGTCACCTTATGCATGTCAGATATGTTTTGACATGAAGCTTTGTTTATATGATTTAAGAATTGTTGGGGTACATCACTTTTTTAAAATACATGCATATAGTTGTCTTAAAATGTTCTCAATAGATTTTTCGACCAGTCCTATGATTTCAAGATTCTATTCATATTGTCTAAAAACCAAAGGCATAGTCATTCTTGACATATCTTTCAGATTTTTCTCAACGAAGTAGGCAATCTTTTTAATCTGAGGCCTCCTTGTTACCTCGCATAATCATCTACTTCAAGGCTCCCTTATTTCATTATTTCCCTTATCCCATATCAAGCTTCAAATGACAAGGGTGGGTTTTCGACCCTGAAAATGACTGAATTAAAATTGATTGCATCTATGAGATTTTCTAGTTTTTAGAACATACAGCATACTCCATTTTTTCTTCAATCTCAGTAACGAAAAGGTATTTTTTTGTCACTACATTTATTTGAAGGCTAACTTCCACACAGTAATTTTAATGGCAATAGTTCAAGCAAATTAGAAACAATAGAATAATAATAGGAATTATGGAATTCAACGCACTCCAAGATAGACAAGTAAATAAGTTTTAACAAAATTTATTCACAGCTAGTACTTTGTCATCATAGGATTTGCATCATTTACGACCTGAAGATTTCCTGGCATATAATTTTTGAGCTAATTCTGATCTAATCAGGAACGATATCTGCAGAACATCTTGTAGCTGTAGTTCCGCAGAAATTTTATTTTTTCGGGCATTCAGGTCCAGCAAGAAGCGAAAATGTTTAATGGGATTGATATTCGGGATTGGAGGATTGTGCAAAAACAATGTAAAGTAACTATTCCTTTGTTTTAGTAACAGTGTGTTGAAACATAAATGTTTCCTTGATCCCCAATTTTCTCAGCGCTGGTGTGCATGTTTTGGGCAAAAGTTAACATACTTGTCTGCATTCATAATGCCTTGATGAAGCTTAGATATCCAACACCATTCCACATCATTTAGCCCCAGGCTAACTAAAACGCTCCCGTCATCAATTTCCACTGTTGGGCTGATATGTCTCATTTTCAAATTGAGTATTATTTTTTCTCCATGCATTTTTGCCGCCATCAGACCTTACATCTTGATCTTACTTTAATCTTCGAGGTTTCGGAGCTTATGGTCACAAATATGTTTGAAGAAAACTTAAAATACTTAATTTGAAATGAGGTATGTCGGTCCAGCAATGCAGCATGGTGGGACAGCGTCTTAGTCTGGGTCTGTATGTTGTGGAATGGTGTTGAAAACCTAAGTTCATCGAAAGTACTATGAATGCAGACAAGTCTATTATTTTGCATAATAACATGCAGAGCAGCACTGGAAAATGGGGATCAGGGAAACATTTATCTTTCATTCAACAGGATAATGATCTTAAACACAAACAAAAGAATGGTTACTTCACAATATTCCTGCCCAACTCAAAATCCCCAGATACTAATCCCATTGAACATTTGTGCTACTTGCTGGACCTGAAGGCTTGAAAAAGTAAAATTTCGGTCGAACGACAGCTACAAGATATTATATGCAGGAATGGGACCAAATTGGACCAGAATAACTCAGAATTTCCATGCCATGATTTCGGTTATCCTATTGATTTCTTACCGTATTGAGTAGGCCCATACGTTTATTGTTTCTCGTGTAAAGTAGTAAAATAAGAAAGCCTTGAAATTAAGAAATTATTGTATATAGATCTGAACAGAATGCTTAACAACTCTTCTGTCTGTCCCAAATGTCAAGCCTTAGTGAAGAACACCTACTGATTCGTCCCCAAAATGTATTCCCGAGATACACAAACTCTTATTGTATTATAAAGATATTGTGCAATAACTTATATTACCAAAGGTCTTTAAGTCCTTGTTTATAAGATTGACTGGTTCAATTGGTGCTCTGCAAAAATTTCATTTCAGTTCAAGCCAGCCTTTTTCCTGTGCCACAACATTCATGTTTATTTTTTATGTTACTTATCGTTGTTGTTGCAACATTCATGTTTATTTTTTGTTACTTATTGTTGTTGCTGCAACATTCATGTTTATTTTTTATGTTACTTATCGTTGTTGTTGAGCCATATTTTACACTAGGTTCTCCTGCACTATTTGAATACAAAATCCATAGACAAATGTTTTTCATATCACCAGGTTCTTTGGTCTGGATCAAGAAAATCATGAGATCCTTCGCATTAAATGATATATTCCAACTCTACCATAGCCTTTGTTATTTCAAACAGTTTTTTATCACGCAAAAAACATAGTTGCATATCATTTACTAGCAGATACTCCATATACATCATTTTGCAGCAACCCGAAGAGAGCTAGGTATATAATATGCCGTCAGATTGCTTTAAAGGCCGTTTTCATAATTTAAGTTTTATTTATTTTAATATAGATTCATTGTGTACACAGAGAACTTAGCACAAGCAATGATTTCCCATGTATAACAATGGTTTTTCCTAAGGTGTATATATACATATCCTTGAAATTCTTTGGGATGAAGAAAAAGTTTTGCAGAAGTATGCCATTAACTTAAAGTCAAGCTTGCGACGGTCTATGCCATCATCATCAAGGGACTAGGACAAATTTTGGAAAGTAGCAACAATATATAATTGAAAGGAGTATCGTTACTTACTGAGTCGGTGAGATTTGTTGCTGAAATTGTTGTTAGAACGAAGTAGAAGACAACACATAGTTAATGAGCAAAAAGCTGAATTGTTGAGGTTAAATTAGTAAGAGCTTATTTTAATTAATAATTATTGGTAAAACCATAGCTATAGTATGCTTGCTTTTTTCAAGAAAACACTGACGGATTTATTAACTTATTGGAAAAACTTTCGAACAATAATTTTTACCGGAAACCACTTCCTCTTTACCACGTGCTGAAACTGACGAAATGGATGAGTGACGTGTGACGTTCACATTATTGACACACCATCGATCAAGGGAAAAAAGGAGAGAGAGAGAGAGAGAGAGAAAAGAAAGGGATAGAAGACCTACGATGTGTTGCCTACCTTGTATGGAAGTGTTAAGATGAAGGTGGTTACAGCATAAAAAGAAGTGCAAGATCTATTTTCAAATTAATAAATATCATTATGGATGGAGGGTGTTTTTTGATGTTATCCTTCCACCGTGTTAGGTAATGACGAAGAAATTATGCAATTAATGCGATTATTGGGAAAGATCGATGTTGGGAGAGATATGAGGTCTTTCCAATTTTTCGCAGTTCAACAGATATTCGTAGAAGACGCTAACATCTCTACTTTCTTGTTCATGCAGTTGCAGTAATAAAGATGTGAGACATTTTTAGGAACAAACGTTTGAATGGATGGTTTTTCTGTCAAGGACGTCATTAAGTCCCCATTGAATACCGTGTGGTGTTGACATGTGAAGCCAGAGCACATCTTTCTGGATGAAGACTGGAATCACTTTCATGTGAGGTTACTCTACCTTTAAGCAATCTCGAAGTTTGACCTGTATATGTGAGATTGCAGTTGTTCCAATAGATACTATACAATAGACAACGTTGGATAAGCTAAGAAGTGGAACTCTATCTTTCATTTTGAAGAAGATATTGTTGATTGTAAGGGAAGATTTGTAAGCAATACAATCTAAAGTGTTGCACAGTCTAGAAAGTTTCGGCGTTAGGTCCTTGATATGCGGCAGGACTGCAAAATTAATTCTGGAATTGGAGGCAGCATCTGTATTGTTGGAATGATTGTCATTGTTAATATTGGAAGGGGTGGATTATTATTATCACCCATGTTTGGCAGAGGTGTAACAGAAGGAGTGCTGAACAAAATTATGTTAATCAGGTATCTGGGATAACCATTATTGATGACTAGTGTTGAAAGTTTTCGTAAATTTTAAAGGTGCAAAGTATTGTCGGAAATGCCAATTATCTTACTCTATCTTTGTTTCACCAAATGTATCTTTATCTTAAGTTTAAGCTATATATGATTCCATACATGTTATCATTAGTAGGAAATTATAATAGAGGAGCAGACTTTCAAAGGGCGTCAGGTATAGTTTTTTTGAAATTGGACAAAAGATGTCGCTGGAATGTATACGTTTATCTCCATGTATGGACAAACAAATAGACTTTGTTACACTTGTTAGTTCAGATTTTTTGTATAGGCGGTTAGTATAGTCTTCTCTTTGGGCACGTGCCGTATTATTTTAATCGTGTCGTATCCTGCACAGTTGGCAAAGCGTTACTCATGGATGAAGAGCATATAGTTGATCGAGACAATGGAGGGTAACATCGCGGCAGCGGTATATTGAATTATGTTATTTGAGGGAATCTTCTCACAGTTTGTGTGAACTTTACGGTTTCGAAGTTCCCTCTACGCACGGCAAAAACAAAAAACTTGCATTTAAAAATATTCCTGTCGAAAGTTTTAGACGCTTCCGAGAAAAGTTTTGCTCACAAAAAGACATGGTTAAACATACGACATTGTCTCATTTGATTGAAATTGGAACTGGAAAAAAACGATCTGGTCAAACATCTGCTAAGAACCGCAAAAAAAAACAATTTGCCAGAAAATGTTTTAAGA